GACAGCCATACACACACACACACACATGGACAGCCATATACACACACACACAGACAGCAATACATCCATACACACAAACACACATTTCCCCCCAACATTTAAAAAAATAAAATTATTTTAATATAAATCCACCCAGCCTCCCTTCCTTTGGGAGAGCTGGATGGATTTCTTACCTGGGGCCCAGTGGGGCTGCTGGGCAGGAAGGCGTCCAGATGTGCAGGCTGGCAGGCACTCTAAGTTTTCAGCAAGGGAGCACTTTCCCCTTAGGGCTCTCCCCTGAGGTCACTCTGCTCATGTGATGTTATATTCCAGCTTCCGGCATTACTGTGGGAGGCTGAGCAGGGAGAGCTTACACTCCGCGCTCTGTCGCCGTGGCCCATGGGCCGCAAACATATTAGTTGTGAGCCGCCCACGGCCCGCGAGTTTCACATCCATACTGTATTTGTTACTACCCACTGCTGAGAGAATCACTGGCTGTATAATTTCCTTAGTGGTCAATCTTCCTTCTTACTACATTTCAAATATTCATGTTTTTCTTTCTTAGTCCTTTACGTTATGATTTTTTCATTGTGTTGCTTTTTTCCCCCAGGAGATGTCTCAACAAAATTATATCAATATAATGTGTTTAGTTCTTTCCTAATGGCCTATCCCTTTTTCTGGTGCTCACCCTTATTATGGGGAACACATATAGTATTTTAAGTTTGTGCGTATCAAGTCCCTGATTATTCTTCTTTAGGTAAAGCATTGTCATTATCAAACAGTACACAATGCAACTTCCTAATCTGACACACTGCGTTTTTACATTTTGAGAGTGAAATTTTTATGTGGGCTACCCCCGTATTAGGTATTGCCTGATGATCATTTGAGAGTTTTCCAACTCTCTTAATTTCACAACAAGTGGAGCATGAGCTCTGCATTAGACATTTTTGCTGTACTCAGTGCATTAGGACCCTGTAGAGAGGACTGAAACAGTGCTCTCTGCATAATCAGCCCTCAGTGAGTTGGCCTACAGCCTGGTCTGTCCCCACCGGAAAAAGGGGCGGGTAATTCAGGAGCCAGATGCCACCTGGTAAACCTGACAATCAGCGCTGGAGGTAACATTTGAGAACAATTTAACCCCCTTGAGCTCTATGACTTCCAATTTTCTTCCAATATTCATCCAGAACACTCCCAAGTGCTACAGTTTGCAAAGTTACAGTTGTTTTAAAATTTGCCAAGAGCTGTCATGCCTTTATATATTGCTGGGTATGACTTAGTGTGTTATAGATTATTATTACTGTCAGGTTCTACAAAATCCAGTTTACATGTGTGTCAAAATAAATTAATAAATAGACAAATAGAAATAAATAAAAAAAATGTATTTTATTTATTTATTTCTATCATTTATTTCTATACAGTGAGGGAAAAAGGTATTTGATCCCCTGCTGATTTTGAATGTTTGCCCACTGACAAAGAAATGACCAGTCTATAATTTTAATGGTAGGTGTAGTTTCCATTTGTCCATGGTCTGACATTAATCTGAGTTTAAACAAATGTTATTTTTATGGCTCATATTGTACGATTTCTCTATAATAAAGTTTAAATTGCAAACTCTCCCCAATACCCCCCCTCCCCCCCCAAAAAAGATAAGAATAATAAAAGAGACTTTGTGCCAAACAAATCTTTTTTTAAAATTACTTAAAATGTAATACTACGGGAATAATGAAACTAAAAAGCACCTAAAATAAACCACAAAGAAAACACAATAGTGTGATTTGTTTCAAAACGAATTATAAGTGCACCATAAATAGATATCCAATTGCTGCCTTTTTTTAGCATAAACATACTTTGGTTCCATTTCGTTCAGGAAACATGACCACAAACAATAGAAACAAATATTTACTAAGCGGAATAAGTATAAGTGTTACTCAGACATTACATACAAACACACCCCTTCATTGAAACGCCTATACTACACACAAACGTACACCTACATTTAAAACCCAACACTACATTCAAACACAGCTCTGCATTTAAACGGAAACATTACAAATACACGCCTGTATTATAATGCCAAAAATAGGGGGAGCGGGGCTCGACAGCCAAGATGGCCAGACGTGTTCTGGAGCAGCTCCAACACTTCTGAACAAAAATCAAACATTTACTGCTTTCTACCACACTGTGCATGGCGCAACTCAACTCTGGCATCTTGTGCGGGCAGGGAACACACAGAAGATACCACACCGCTGCTCTGCCTTCAGAGTCCAAAACTAGAAGTAGGAATCGACCGATATTGATTTGTTAGAGCCGATACCGATAATCTGTGATTTGTTAGAGCCGATAGCCGATATCTTGCCGATATTCTGTACATTTACTATTTTGAAAAAATAAACTAATTCGAAAGGTAAATGCACAAAATATACATGCCACATGTAGTGAATGAAGTGTGTTTAGACAGGGGAGCTGCGTGTGTTTGTGTAGTGTGTGTGTGTAGTGGATGCTGAGTGTGTGTTTGTGTAGTGTGTGTGTGTAGTGGATGCTGAGTGTGTGTTTGTGTAGTGTGTGTGTGTAGTGGATGCTGAGTGTGTGTTTGTGTAGTGTGTATATAATGCAGTGTGTGTGTAGTGTGTATATAATGCAGTGTGTAGTGTGTATATAATGTAGTGTGTATATAATGCAGTGTGTGTGTTTGTGTAGTGTGTGTATATAATGCAGTGTGTGTGTGTTTGTGTAGTGTGTGTATGTAATGCAGTGTGTGTGTTTGTGTGTGTGTGTTTGTGTAGTGTGTGTGTGTTTGTGTGTGTGTGTATGTAATGCAGTGTGTGTGTGTGTTTGTGTAGTGTGTGTATGTAATGCTGTGTGTGTGTATGTTTGTGTAGTGTGTATGTAATGCAGTGTGTGTGTATGTTTGTGTGTGTTTGTGTAGTGTGTGTATGTAATACAGTGTGTGTTTGTGTTTGTGTAGTGTGTGTATGTAATGCAGTGTGTGTGTGTGTGTGTTTGTGTAGTGATGTAATTTGTGTAAAATGGGGGGGCATTTTTTTATTTTATTTTTTTAAAAATATTTTAAAATTATTTTTGTTTGTTTAGTCCTCCCTCCCTGCTTCTTACCAGGGAGGGGGGATATAGTATTCCCTGGTGGTCCAGTGACTTGTTAAGTACAGTGGTGGCTCAGCAGCAGCAAGCGCTGACTTACCTCCTCCAGCTCCCTGTGTAAATCTCGCGGCTCTTAGTGCTTGCTGCTGGCCCCCCACAGGACCGCCGGGCTTGTAATGGGCCCATCGGTCCTGTTATATATTATCGGCAATATCGGTATCTGAATTGGCCGATACCGATATTGCCGAAAATACCAAATATCGGCCGATAATATCGGCCAGACCGATAATCGTTCAATCCATAACTATAACTGATGTATCAGATCACTGTCCCGCTCTGGGCTGAGGGCCCATATGGAGGTAAACTCCGAAATCCTGCCGAGTGGAGACGGAGGGTCCCTAGACATCCGGCGCTGGCTTCCCTTAAGGACTGGCCTCTGGGGATGAACCCTGGTGCAGCAGTTTTCCTACAGCTTGCAAACATGGAGCCTGGCTCTCCCCGCACTACAGCATGAGGACGAGCGGTGATACCGTACTCAGAATTGGATTGTATAGTATGGCCTGCATGTGGCGTGGGGTGAAATCATGGTGGCAGAGACTCTGCATATTCACAGCTAATCAGCTAATATTGTTTACAGTGATTTCAATGCTGGTCTTCACTTATCTTTGTTTAGTAACCAGTACCCAGTGGCTTTGCAGCTAATCAGTTAAGAGTAGCATGTTGTTATACTATACTCTTCCTAACTACACTTATTCTTAGATTTAGTGATTTAGGTGAGTTCTCACATAACTATGCCCCTCCAGCTAGAATTTCTGGAAGTTTTATTTGCTAGCAAACATAAATTGTGCTATTGTTTCTTGTGCCATGCGTGTTTCCTATTGCTTGATATTACTGTGACTATGCATGATGTTGTGGCGTGGTGGGCTTTATGCACAGCAAAAATATATATATATATTTTTTTTTAAAACGCCAAAAATACATAGAAGCCCCCCTTTATTCGAACACCAATAATACACACAAAAGTACACCTGCATTTAAAAGCTAACACTGCATACAAACTCATCCCTGCAAGGATGGACTAATGGTAGTTCCCCAGCTTCTATAGAATTTACAGGTGGGTAGATGCCTTTTTGGCCCCCTTGCGCTAGAGGGTGACCAAAAACAAACTCCTGCATCAGGGCCCTTGTTCCATTAGCTCTGCCACTGTTGTGCCGTCTGGCTTACTTGTTAACTAAACAATCAGATTTATTTCCTTGCCATATATTTTAAATGGCCACTCCTCAAATTGCTGACGTGCTTTATGTGTGAGGAGTATCGTGTTTTTACCCTAGTCTATAAAATTACATATTTCTATCAGAAATCTGCTTTTGTTTTTTAATAAATAAATTATGGAACACTCCCCTAGCTGTCAATCAAACAGCCAGGAAGGATTGCTGCCTCCTTCCGTTTGCTCCACTGAGTGAGCAAAAATGCCAAGCGTGCTCTACTTGAGGGCACCTACATCCTCCCCCACAGACCACAGATCTGCATTTCTTTTTGGACCTTATTACAAAAATATGATACGTATCTCAATAATGCTATTGCCAACCAACCCTCTATGATGTTTCTACGAGCAAATAATATTAGGGACTATTTAACACATGGTCATTTGAAACCCATACAACCTACACCCACTTGGCTTCAAACATCTAAAGGCCTTTTTAAATGTGGCCATTGTAAAGCCTGTGAATTTATTTCACCTACTAAAACTGTTCTAAATAAAAGAACATCCAAAGAGATAGTTATCAATGCCTTTGTTAACTGTAGCTCTACAAACATAATTTATATTATAACCTGTGAATGTGGGTTACAGAACATTGGCAAAACTTACCAATAGTGATGTCCCGAACTGTTCGCCACGAACAGTTCGTGAGGACTCCAGTCAGCTGACACATTCCAGCCAATCAGCAGCAGACCCTCCCTCCCAGACCCTCCCACCTCCTGGACAGCTCACTAAGAATGCAGCTTCAAAATGGATGCTGTCCAGGAGGTGGGAGGGTCTGGGAGGGAGGGTCTGCTGCTGATTGGCTGGAATGTGTCAGCTGACTGGAGTCCGTGGCGAACTGTTCGTGGCGAACCGTGGCGAACAGTTCGCGAACCGTTCGGCGAACAGTTCGGGACATCACTACTTACCAACAATTAGTAGATGTGTTTTGCAACACATTAACTCCATCACCAATTCTCAGGTAGAGACTCCAGTTGCAAAACACGTACGAGTGAATCATGCTTCTAAACCCAATGTACTTAACTTCCAGGTGATACAAAAAAGATTTCTTAACCATCGGAAAGGTGATATTAATATTTTTTTATTGAAAGCTGAGTCCCGTTGGATTTACTTATTTCAAACATTATATCCTAAAGGACTCAATGAAGAATTCAGTTTCACCCCATTCATTCACTCCTAAATAGGGGGTACAAACAACGATTGAGGTCTATATACACCCCATGGAATTTGGAATAAATCAGGGGGTATACTGACTCCCACTAAATAGAGTCTGAATGGGAGAAATTTTAGAGATCTCTGATTGATTTTATCCCTTTTCCCACAATTAGGATATCTATTTTTGCCTCATATATATATATATATATATATATATATATATATTAGCATTATACATTACTATCTGTATATATGTTAAAAATTCTGTATATAATTTTATTTACCATCTGTGTATTTGTGCATCACTATTTTTATACACTGCACGTATTTATAATTCTATACAGGACATATTTAGTAATTAATTTATACAACAATATTAATGAGGTCAAAATATTCTCAAGGGTTATGATTGACAATGAGATTCTGTAACTTTAGTTACATTATATATCCAGTGATTATGGTTGAGAATATGACTTTGTATCTCTATCTCTATCTCAACCTTATAAATCATAAAAGTCATGACCTGTGCTGGTTTCTATATAGATGTTTTTTTACTAATAAGCTTATTCCTCTACAGATTTAACCCCCATAATTAGTCATATGATAACTAATTGGGCAGGTCTATAATAATGGACTCGTATTTTTTCTATCTCTCTATAATTGTAACTAGTCACATTGAAATGAATTGAGACAACAATAGGAGTTTTGCAGAGACTCAGACAGCCACCAGGACATGAGACTTTAATGTATTTATGAAATTCATAGTTAATTTATGGGCATTCATTAGTATAATATCTTAACGTTTGCCTAAGTTTTTCTTATTTATAAATAATGTTTTTCCTTTATTTCCTAACATTGCAGTACATTTAAAATAATGACATAATTTTATTTTTATTTTGTAGTTATGTTGCTTGCTCGAATACAATGGGTTAATTTCCATTTCTATTTCCCTCTATCTTGTTGGAGAAAGTGTGAACCAATCAGGATCAAGGGCGGGATATTTAAAAAACCGATCAACTTTGATTCGGTTCCCTTGGAAGAGCCGCTAGTCGGCGAAACGTGCGTCAGGAGTTTTTGATAGCACTAGGGTGGAGGAGGTTGACAGGGGACTTTGCTGCAGCCTTTAGTTTTAGATTCTAATTTTCCTCCGTGACAGCCACCCAGCTTTATTATTATTTAATCATGCTTAGTCAGGTAGCCGGGCGGATTGATCGGCTCCTGTCAGACTACTGAGGGGAATGAGAGTGTGCTGATAGAGTGGGAAAGGGTGATGGGAGTTGGGGGATACTCATTTGATAATCATTACTAAATCTCCTTGTTATATTTATCGCTATTAACGTCCCCTTTTTTTGTTACATCTATACCCCCTATACCCCTGTACCACTGGTGTTGCTATATGATACAGGCAGCACAATCTAGTCATCACTTTCCCTTACTTTTGTACTTCAATTATAATACTTAGGATACTTTTATTTTATTCATTTTCTGAGATGATTAATTAGGGTTGCTGATAATATATAAGATCCTTAAAGTGATTGCTGTTAGACATTCTTTCACTTTTTGGAATTCCTGCATGTGTTTTTTTTAGTAATTTAAGTGTAGGGATTACCCCCCATTAGAATTTAGCAACCCGATATACTTTCTCTACTTCATGTCTCTCCATTTTTAAACCTCTTTTTACTTCCTTCAATTACAGGCAAAACAAATATCTAATGAGACAGAAAGGGGTATTTTACTAAACCCCTTTCCGATTTTCGCAATGTCACGTTTACTTATCGTTAAATTACTTAACTTACATTTTTTTGGGGGGTGATCTCTTCTTCCTGGAAGGGTGCATAAAAATACCATCATCTTCTGAATGTATTAATTCTGAATAGGTAGTAGTTTGCCCCTAAATTAAACTACTAGAATGTGTAGGTGGAAGGAAATATTACCAAAAGAAAATGAATATATTATATTTTATAAAGTTTTGGGGGAGGTTTATTTGCCCCCTTACACTGTGGCAGAAGGGGGTGTTTTCCCTGGTTGTCCAGTAAAGCTATGGAGGGCATTCTTTGGTGATCCGATGGGGGAGCATTGTGGTCTGCTTCCATCAGGATTGTGCTAAGGCAATAACACAGAGCACTAAGTGTGGCACTCTAAGTTATTGAGAAGCACCATGGGGACCACGAGGGAGCTCTTACAATGATCTGCACAAATAAAGGTGCATATAAGGTGCATATAACAATGCTCCTTTGATTAAGTGAGGGAAAAGAGGCAGGGCCGGTTTAAGGTTTTGGGTACACAGGCGAAGATGATTTTGGCGCCTTCCCCCAAAGAAAGCATCTTAATTATCTGTGTGCCTCTTAACCCCCTTTTTGTTTCTTATCCCCTATTTTAAATGTCATACCCGCTGTAGTGTATCTTATCCCCTATTTTTCCCCATTGTGTGTCTTACACCTCCCTTGTGTATCTCTTACAATTCTCCTTTGTGTGTCTTACTCCCCCCAGCCCCTTTGTGTGTCTCCTTCTCTCTCAGCCCCTTTGTGTGTTTCTTTTTCACTCCCAGCCCGACTATCTCCCCCAAATCACTCTGTGTCTCTTTTTCCTCTTCTCCAGCCCCTATATGCATCTCTTTCACCCCCAGCCCCTTTGTATTTCTCCCAGGCCCTTCTGTGTTTCTCTTTCAGCCCCCAGGACCATCTGTGTGCCTTTCTTCCCTCTCATGTCCCTCTATGTGTCTCTCTCCCCACTCATGCCCCCCTGTGTGCCACGCTCTCCTCCATGTCCCTTAGTGGTCCTCTCCCCTTCCTGTCCCTTAGTGGTCTCCTCCTTGTCCCTGAGTGGTCTTCTCCCCTTCCTGTCCATTAGTGGTCCCCTTCCTGTCCATTAGTGGTCCTCTTCCCTATCCCTTAGTGTTCATCTCCCCTCCATGTCCCTTAGTGTTCCTCTCCCCTCCATGTCCCTTAGTGTTCCTCTCCCCTCCCTCCCCTGTTATTTAGTGTTCCTCTCCCCTGCTCCCCTGTCACTTAGTACCTGAACTGCTCTTTGCTCCGCTCGGGCACGCTACACTGAGTGACTAAACTAGCGGCCCCCGGGCCGGTGTGCCCCAAGGCAGCGGCCTGTGCCGCCTTGTGGACGCGTCGGCCCTGGGAGTAGGATAGATTAGGGAGATCTATTGCTGACTCAGAGAAAGCGCCCTCACAAGCAGTGCTGGAGCCCTAGGCTCCTCTCTTAACTCAGGCCCTAAGTAACCTTTTATGCCACTTTATGGGTAATGCGGCTCTATATACTAGTAAACCAGTGGCTTACCTACTGTGGTCGCAGGGATTGCAGAGGTTGCAGCTGCAACTGGGTCCATCACTCCAGGGGGCCCGGCTGCCATGTTACACCCCTGCTGATTAAAAGTACCACACTGGCCTGCACACTAAGGGGGCCCATCGTGAGGCCCATATACTAAGGGCCACCCAGTGGACATTTGTCAGCAGGGGCACAATTGGGAGCTGTGGTCACTTAACAGTGCGACTTGGGTCCCCTTTCTAATCGGCAGCATGGGAAGAAGTGATAGTCACTTCCTCCCAGACAGACTGGAGCCAGGTGGGAGAGTGAGGTTTATGCAGAAAGGAGGGGGCTAGGCCGGGCTGGGCTTGGTATATCTGTATGTCTGTCAGAGTGTGTGTGTATCTAAATATCGGTCAATGTGTGTGTCTGTGTGTATGTCTGTCAATGTGTGTGTGTATCTGTATGTCTGTGAATATGTGTGTATCTGTATTGTCTGTCGATGTGTGTGTGTGTGTGTCCTTATGTCTGTCAGTGTGTGTAATTGTATGTCTTTCAGTGTGTCTCTCTGTGTGTCTGTGAATCTGTATGTGTGTCTGTATCTGTATGTGTGTTAGTTTGTGTATCTGTGTGTCTGTATCTGTATGTGTCAGTGTGTTTATCTGTGTGTCAGTGTGTGTATCTGTGTTAGTGTGTGTATCTGTGTGTCGGTATCTTTATGTGTGTTAGGTTGTATATCTGTGTATCTGTATGTGTGTCAGTGTGTGTATCTGTGTGTCAGTGTGTGTCTGTGTTTTAGGGTGTGTATCTGTATGTCAGTATCTTTTTTGCATCATTCTGGAGTCAATTTTGGTGTTGGGCGCTACCGTATGCCGTCCTTTATTAATGAAACATCTGTGCATCAAATTACTGATGCCAGGCCCTTGGAGTCACCTCAATGCACACGTATGGTTTGTGATGCAAGCAGCATTAATTTTGCAGTACCTGTTTAAACTCTGCTTATAGGTGACTGAAGTGTCTTGTTGTGGATTCCTGTGTACCCAACAGTGCAATCTGGATTACAATGATTCTCTGGTATTTGACATTCTTTGTCTTGACTAGTCCATCCTCTGGTTTCCTTAGACCAGATTCTGTCTCTCATTATTGGGATCCTGTATTTACCACTGAATGCGCCTGAAGCTTGACTACTCTCTTTAGTATTTTGCCTATCTTTAGCATAGCCGTAAAGGGCACCTGTCATGCCCCAAATGTGCTGGCAGTTTTAAAACTAGGCTTTTTTTCCCTTGTCGAGGCATTAAGGGAGAGCAGAGAAGACCTCCACTACCCTTCTGCTCTTCTAAGCATCGCAACCACAGCGCATATAAAAACACACAGGCAAAGATTTGGGCCATGAGGGGGGTACAGTCAGCACATTTATATAGCAATTGTCAGAGCATTGCTGTGGGTTACTGTGGCAACCATCCTCGTGGCACACAGACCGGAGGCTCGGAAGAGTTGGAGAGATGAGCTGCAGGAAGCTGTAGATGGCCATTTCTAGGCACTCTCTTTACTATACAGGCACCAAAAAGCCTGGCAGCGTATACACTGTCATCGGAGTACCAGGGAATGCTATATCCCCCTCCCTGGACACAGGTAAGAGGCAGAAAGGGTGAAATAAAATTAATTAAAGGACCACTCTAGGCACCCAGACCACTTCAGCTTAATGAAGTGGTCTGGGTGCCTGGTCCTTCTAGGGTTAACCCATTTTGTTTATGAATGGGTTAAGCCTTCCCCTTAATCCTCTAGTGGCTGTCTCATTGACAGCCACTAGAGGCGCTTGCGTGCTTCTCACTGTGATTTTCACAGTGAGAGCACGCCAGCGTCCATAGGAAAACATTGTAAATGCTTTCCTATGAGACCGGCTGAATGCGCGCGCAGCTCTTGCCGCGCGTGCGCATTCAGCCCAGGAGGAGGATCGGAGGAGGAGAGGAGGCAGAGAGCTCCCCGCCCAGCGCTGGAAAAAGGTAAGTTTTTAACCCTTTCCCCTTTCCAGAGCCGGGCGGGAGGGGGTCCCTGAGGGTGGGGGCACCCTCAGGGCACTATAGTGCCAGGAAAACGAGTATGTTTTCCTGGCACTATAGTAGTCCTTTAATTAAAAGAAAACAAAAAAAACTTTTGCCCAAAGAATGTTGCCCCCATCCTAGCCCACATTTATACACACACACTAGATCCACTACACAAACCACTGCACACACACACACACTGCTTCCTCTACACTCATTGCATATGTAACACACACACTCAGCATCCACTCTACACACTTGGGGGGCGTCACCCAGGTTCCAGACCTTGAGCTGTGTTAGTTGCACCAAAATGTCTGATGGCAGCCCTGGGCACAGACACAGACGGACACCAACACATGCAGACACATAGGCAACATTATGCCTTAAAGGTGCACACAGACAGGTACACATAGACAGGTACACGCAGACACAGACAGGCATAGACCTTTTAAGTGGTAAAAATTTTCTTAAGCAGTTCCTATTTCTTTTCCTTCCAACTATAGCTTATTATTGTAAACTATAACATCATGGTACATTTATGACCTTTATATATTTATATATAGCACGCAATTATGCATAGGAAAAATTTATAAACAGACATACGTTATTACCAACAATCTGTTGGGCTGTTGTACAAAAATATGTCAACGGGAAACTGGCTCGAATTTCCAATAATAGATTTATTTTCCGTTCAGTCTGCATTTTACATTTCCTGCATTTTTTTATATTTTTTAATGCAAAATAAACCATTCTTAAAAATGGTGAGAATGTGTGTATATGTGCATATACTATATAATAATGGTAAGTAGCATGGGAAGGGATGGATAGTATTCTTGAGATCCTGGTAAAATGACAAATAGTATGGGAAGCAATGGAAGGGGTAAATAACATGTCATAATGACAGAGTAAATATCGGTTTCATTCATATTTGAACAGAACGGATATGCTCAAAGGTTCCAGTTTTATAGAAGGGCTATAGACAATTTTATATGCACTACTCAAAGACTGGAGTTTTAAAGGAAAAAGTAAAATTAATTGTCATGGTAAAGAGCATACCCCACCATGGAGAGCTTAAATGTAAGCTATCCTAACAGAGTAAAAGGGATAGTCGCGTTTTATCAGTATTTAGAATGGCTGGGCTTAACGTAACACCTATAGTACACAGTAATGTAATGGCAGGCTGGGGTTTGAGGTACAGAGATTGAAATAGTCAAACAAGCCGAGTTGATATACCAGAGAAACACACGGAACAAAGAAAGCTCTATAGAAACATAGAATGTGACGGCAGATAAGAACCATTCGGCCCATCTAGTCTGCCCAATTTTCTAAATACTTTCATTAGTTCCTGGCCTTATCTTATAGTTAGGATAGCCTTATGCCTATCCCACGCATGCTTAAGCTCCTTTACTGTGTTAACCTCTACCACTTCAGCTGGAAGGCTATTCCATGCATCCACTACCCTACTTCCTGATATTATTTTTAAACCTTTGTCCCTCTAATTTAAGACTATGTCCTCTTGTTGTGGTAGTTTTTCTTCTTTTAAATATAGTCTCCTCCTTTACTGTGTTGATTCCCTTTATATATTTAAATGTTTCTATCATATCCCCCCTGTCTCGTCTTTCCTCCAAGCTATACATGTTAAGATCCTTTAACCTTTCCTGGTAAGTTTTATCCTGCAATCCATGAACCAGTTTAGTAGCCCTTCTCTGAACTCTCTCTAAGCTATCAATATCCTTCTGAAGATACGGTCTCCAGTACTGTGTACAATACTCCAAGTGAGGTCTCACCAGTGTTCTGTACAATGGCATGAGCACTTCTCTCTTTCTACTGCTAATACCTCTCCCTATACAACCAAGTCATTCTGCTAGCATTTCCTGCTGCTCTATTACATTGTCTGCCTACCTTTCCTCTATTGGCAATAGGGAATGAAATCTCAACATGGCAAAGACACAGAGATCTGTAGAAGCATATATCGGTCTGGCACCTATAGCTAGGCCCACATATTTCCTGTGTGCCTAAATCATGTGTGCATCGGGACTGGAATGATGTATCACTAGTTACTGTCCGACCGATAACTAACTAACGCTGGGGCGTCTCAAGACGAAAGGACCATGAAATGTTACAGGGACACCTCATCCTCATAGGAGTGCACGAACCCTGGCTAAACCCACAATCAGTGAATAATTCAAGGAATAAAATAAAAGAATCCTCAAAGTGATCGTTTATTACACGGCCAAGTTGACAGTTAATGTTTTGGTAGGTTTGATAAGGGACAAGATAGGCCAAAACGTTACCAGTCAACTTTGGCGCCATAATAAACGATCACTTTATGGATGGTGCTGGACATTTCACTCTTTACTGCAAAAGGAAGCGAAGGAGCTGCATTATCTGACAGAATTGATGGCAGGGTACTGAACTTTAGAGCTTGTTTCACCTTGCATCATGGTTGCATCTATCCCGATGCAACCATGATGCAAGGTGGAACAAAGTGTCACAGGTCATTTATTGTTTGTTATTTCTTCTTTTTATTTTTTCTCAGTACAGCATTAACATAGAACAATGGCGTATTCCATACAGTGAGGCACGCAGGCCTCCAGTAGTGTTAGGAACTGTTGGTATATATTCGTAGTATGCATTAGAATCGCAGGTCCTCTTGTGTTACATATAATATTGTCGGTTTATATTTTGTAAACCATTATTGATGACTAGGTGTGTTCGTCTGTGTGTATGAAGTGTCTTTGCAAGTGATGTGGTGCCCTCTTTGAGTTATGCAAATATGAGTGGTTTCTTCGTGTGTGGTTGTGTCGTGGCGGCCCTCCTCTATAGTGAGTGGGCATCCTATTAGTGGTGTGCGTAGGTTACCCACGAAGGTGGTTGCTGTCAGTATGATGGCGTTGTTTGTTTTGGACTCACAGGTCCGCTTCAATAGAACATTGCCTGTTTATCCCGGATTCCAAAAACAATGATTATTGGAAGAATGCCCTTCCAGGAGTGTTGTGTTCCCTTCTGTGTGGCATAGTGTGTATTATTATATGGTATAACGATTATTGTTATCGCTGTGAGTGGCTTCCGCCTTACATTCTACATGTTGGGTTGTTGCACAGGTAATTTTAAACCCAGAAGCAATTACCAAAAATAAACACGGACCTTCCCATATGTCACTCATAAATGATTGTTATATGAAAGTAAACATTCAAGTAAAGGAAGTTTGGAAAAAGGGATTTTCCTAGTACAGAAGTAAACTCTTCTAGTACAGAAGTAGACTGGACTGACCGAAACTGAAAGCGGGATGTTGAAAACTAGTTGAACCTTTTATTTTTATTTTTTTAATGTAGCCACAGAGGATCACTCACCATCAATGAGGACGTGCAAGGAGCAGCAGCAGCCAGCGTTGCTCTTTGCAATAAATGGGGTTATTTGCTAAAGCCTGGGGTAAATTAACATTGTTTATGCTAAATAACAATGTCCTGATTCCGAAATTCAGGCCTCAAATGGACTTGAATTTTTTCTGGATTTCAGCTATACCAAACACCACTGAAATCTGGACCCAATGCTTCAATTAAAACTAAAAATTAAAAATAATCCGAAATATTTGCCAGGTGACAGCACACGTATGCTATGTAATATAAGTAAGGTTGGTTGGCTTAGTAACCCCCCTATTTACTATTATTAGGGTGAGAGGTGGTTAGGTAGGGCCCTCAATTTTTTATTTGTGGTAGCTAGCCTATTGGGAACCTCTAGCAACCCAGGAGGAAGATTGAATGTGGGTGGACCTGCCATTATTTGAGGGGTGGATGTCCAGCCCCTCCATTGTTAAATTACTTAGAGCCCTTGCCCGCTGTACCTGGGTGAGGGTTAGGGGGTCTTAGCTCCAGCCCCTTTAATGGTGTTTACACCCTGTTCCAAATTATTATGTAAATTCTATTTAAGTGTCACAAAGATTAAATATTTTGTTTTTCAGTTTAACGCATGGATGGCATTGTGTTTCAGGGCTCTTATGATCACTGAAAACAATCTCGGACACCTGTGATAATTAGATTGCCAGGTGAGCCCATTTAATGAAAAACTACTAAAGGAGGGTGTTCCACATTATTAAGCAGGGCACCATTTTCATGCAATTTGGGGAAGAAAAAGGATCTCTCTGATGCTGAAAAGAGTGAAATAGTTCAATGCCTTGGATGAGGTATGAAAACATTAGATATTTCAGGAAAACGTAAGCGTGATCATCGCACTATAAAGAAATTTGTGGCTGATTCAGAGCACAGACTGGTTCGTGCAGATAAAGGCACATTGAGGACGATTTCTGCCAGATCCATGCATCAGATCAAGAGAGCAGCTGCTAAAATACCATTACATAGCAGCAAACAGATATTTGAAGCTGCTGGTGCCTCTGGAGTCCCACGGACTTCAAGGTGTAGAGTCCTCCAGAGTCTTGCAACTGTGCATAAACCTTCTAGTCGGCCACCACTAAGCAATGCTCACAAGCAGAAACGGCTGCATTGGGCAGAAAAATACATGAAAACTAATTTTCAAACAGTCCTGTTCACTGATGAGTGCCGTGCAACCCTGGATGGTCCAGATGGATGGAGTAGTGGATGGTTGGTGGACGGCCACCCTGTTCCAACAAGGCTGCGACGTCAGTAAGGCAGTGGTGGAGTCATGTTTTGGGCTGGAATCATGGGAAGAAGCTGGTCGGCCCCTTTAGGGTCCCCAGAGGTGTAAAGATGACCTATGTAAAGTATGTGGAGTTTCTGACTGACCACTTTCTTCCCTGGTACAGAATGAAGAACTATGCTTTCCGTAATAAAATCATCTTCATGCATGACAATGCACCATCTCATGCTGCAAAGAATACCTCTGCATCAATGGCTGCTATGGGGATAAAAGGCGAGAAAGTCACAACAAAGTTACAACAGCCAATGACAATTTTCAGTTCTTTACAACCTATAAACTGTTTTGAAACTTACTGTGCGTAATAATTTGGAACAGTGCATTGTAAGTTTTTTATGTGTAAAAAAATACTGTTATCATTAGGAGGTTTGTTCAATAAAATTTGGATTGTACTCTTAATAGTTAATAACATGAGAATTATGCTGACTGTTATTTACATCAATTATTTAGGTAAATGAGAAAAATATCATTTGCATAATAATTTGGAACAGGGTTTAGAGGTTAGAGGTTACTAGCCAGAGGTGGTGGGTGGAGTTTAGAGGTTAGCAGTGCTCTCTCCATCACCACCATTATTTTTTCCAATGCTCCCCTGGTTACCTCCATTATTTCACAGGACTCTTTCCCAAATTAAGTGTTTAGTAGACATGCCTCCAATGCTACATGGCAGGTTGGGGCATAGGGAGGTGTTAAACTTTCCTTATAGTAATATGGGCTTTTCTTGACAACCATATGCGTTTTTCTTTATTTTTCTTTATGTAATGCATAACACTGCTCCTACATACCTATCCTCACTATTCTGCTGAAGACATCCATCAATTCTCTGTTCATTCTAGCACCTCTGATACCAACCTTCAAGGCTTCTCTAGGGCTGGGATGTTTCATTCATGTTCCATTAGATTTCGATCCAGTCTCCATTCCATCAAAAAATCATTGAAAACTCACTTATTTAGGAAAACATATAAAATAACTGCTTTCCCTCCTCGCGCCTTGATAACCCATTTTGCTTCCTCTCCTGCAACTGCGCCTCCCAGAAAAAACTAACCCTTCATTGTAAACTATTCTAGCAACCTACTTTTCCTGCACATTAAATACATCCTTCCCTGACCACTTGTGTCAATTTACCTCTCCCCCTAGAATGTAAGCTCATTTGAGCAGGGCCCTCAGCACCCTCTGTTCATATGTGTCTAACTTGTGTTGTTGCAAATACTTGTCACTTATTATACAATGCTGCGGAATTTGTTGGCACTTTTTCAATAATAATAAAGCAGTGGCCAGCCACAACATAATTAATCCTCGCATTGCTGAATCTTATTTATGTATTTGCCCGATGGCTGCTAAAATATCAGTCACTTGGATAAAAGCAAAAAGGTGTTGTATGAGCACATCATTAGACACTCGTACTGCACTTTCTGAATGGGTCTGCTCTTAACTGGTCTGGCTTGCTTGACTGGCAAGCAGTCTCTTGTGCACTCACACCAGCCTGACCTGTCAATAATTCAGGAGGGCCTGCCCCTTTTCCAGTCAGGTCCACCCTCTTTGGGCGGAGCTAGAAATGCAGTCGTGTCACTGGCCCGCTCGCGTTACCTTTCCTCCCAGTAGCGCTTCTCGGGACACTAACGTTAGGTGGTTTGTGATAGGATGGGCATAAAAAGTTTTTCAGGGCTACTTTTTATTTCCACTCTGGCCCTGGAAGGAGGTTGGTGATTATGTGTCTACCGGTTTGGCTAATGAAGAGTTATTTTTTTCCATTCAGCCAATCCTGCTAGTAACTGAGCTGCAAGTACAATGGTTCCTGATGAGCTGATAAGAAAGACATTTTCGTAATGGGGCAGGATTCTTATAAAATATGCATGTTTAGGTGAGTGCAGCCCTCTTGTTGGTTTTAGTAAGAAAGAAATATATATATATATGTATATATATATATACGTGGTCTGTCTGGAAAGTATCCAGCCGTGTAATGTGAAAAGTAGCAACATGTAATGATACTGGAAACGTACTCAGGACAGTTACGTCTCAGAACCTCACACAGTTCCCCCCGCGTCTCTTCTTCTGTTCAAAACACTCCGCAAAATCCTTTGTTGGAATCGTCATTAACTTCTGGCCATCAAAGTTATTGCACTGTCAGTCGCTGATCTTTGTTGATTGCATCCCGTACACGTTTAACACTCTCAGGTGTTCTGCTTGTTGCAGGCCTTCCAGAACGTGGATCACTTTCAACAGATTCTCGACCATCTTTGAAGTGTTTATGCCACACTTTATTTGTGCTGCACTCGTTGTATCGTCCCAGAAAGCCTTCTGTATCATCTGAATAGTTTCCACGTAGGAATGCTCAAGCTCAGTCATTTTGAATGCGATGACCACACAGCACACATGCTCACTCAACGGCGTCTTGCGCCTCCCTCCCGACTAGTAAAATAAAGTCATCATTGTTCACGCATGCGCATTCCAGTCCACTCTCCTTGGCTGCCAGGTTACATCAATGTCGCCCAAACCATTCTCTTCATATTAACAATGGTTGGACTTTTTACGAACAGACCTTGTGTGTATATATATATATATACACACACACTTAGCATAATGTCATAATGTTCCAGGCCCATGAATCCCTAATCCAAATTTCAGCCCACTGTTTAGTGGGTGCAAGCAGTCCCCTCCGTAACCAGGAAAAGGCTCTTTTCTTATAAAGTCCTGCACAGTAATTCCTCTCTGAAGGCCTCCATAAGAGTCTGTACAACTTAATCATGACTGTAGTTATAATAAGACAAGAGCAAAATAGCCGTTACAAGGTGTTTGAGAATAAACCAGGAAATTGCTAACATTCTGGATTCAAGTTAGAATTAATCGTGAGCACTCTGTCATTTAAATCAATTTATTGACATGAACAGCGATCTAGTAGACTTAAATATTGTATTGCAACACGTACTTCAAGAGAAGCAAAGTAAAAACAATTAACTCTAAAACTCAGTTGTTTTATTTTTATTTTTAATTATCTATAGGTTTATTAATTGTAAATGGGAATTTTTTTTCTGAAAATAGAAATTTACATATTTTTCATTTCCTCCCCTCCCCCTCTTCCCCTCCATCACATCCTTATTCTTGTCAAAGTATTTGTTAAAGCAAGAACTACTTTCTTTAAAATCCTGAAGCAGAACAAGGAAGAACAAACCTCAGCTATGAAGAAATGACGAGTCCATGATGCAATTTGTACAGACTGAATGTAATCGGTGGGAGAAATGCCAGAATTGGACAAGATATTGCATAAGCCAACTATCTCAGGGTTAAACATTTATATGAAATATGAAATTAGATGAGATCTTGGTACAAAATATGGAACATGGTACGAAATGGTAAAATATTAAATAATACAGCAAATGGCATTATTGGATGAAATATTAAATAATACCGCATTTGTGATTGTGTTTGGAAATAGTGTAGTTATGGGGTTTAATATGAATTAATATATCAAAAAACCTCTCCAGGGGGTGGGGCCGGACCGCCATGCTGATAGTGCTGATACACTACACCCCCTTCACTTACACACAAACACACTACATGCACTCTATACGCCCTATATATACACTACACACCCTTCACTTACACACAAACACACTACATGCACTCTATACGCCCTATATATACACTACACACCCTTCACTTACAGACAAACACACTACATGCACTCTATACGCCCTATATATACACTACACACCCTTCACTTACACACAAACACACTACATGCACTCTATACGCCCTATATATACACTACACCCCCTTCACTTACACACAAACACACTACATGCACTCTATACGCCCTATATATACACTACACCCCTTCACTTACACACAAACACACTACATGCACTCTATACGCCCTATATATGCACTACACCCCCTTCACTTACACACAAACACACTACATGCACTCTATACGCCCTATATATGCACTACACCCCCTTCACTTACACACAAACACACTACATGCACTCTATACGCCCTATATATACACTACACCCCCTTCACTTACACACAAACACACTACATGCACTCTATACGCCCTATATATACACTACACCCCCTTCACTTACACACAAACACACTACATGCACTCTATACGCCCTATATATACACTACACCCCCTTCACTTACAGACAAACACACTACATGCACTCTATACGCCCTATATATACACTACACCCCCTTCACTTACAGACAAACACACTACATGCACTCTATATGCCCTATATATGCACTACACACCCTTCACTTACAGACAAACAGAGTGGGCTTCCAAAAAAATAAAATAATAATAATAATTTTAATTTAATTGTAGATCTATAGTGTTTTTATTCAGATTATTGTGCCTTAAAGTCTTTTTCGAGTCTTGAAAATCAATGAGCAAACCAACAGAAACTGCCAGTATGAAAACTGTACGTCAGCCACTTGCGATGATCTTCCTTGAATCTTTTATGCAAACTTGTGTTCATTATTATTGCCATTTATATAGCACCAACAGATTCCGTAGCGCTTCATCAATAAGAATCTTTCATGTTGGCAAACAACAAGAAGCTCCAGAAGTATATATGCAGAGAAGCAATTAAAATCAAATAGAAACACAATAAAAAGCAAAAAAAATTATAATAGGCCCTACGCGCTTCGTCCGATGGGACTTCTTCATCCCTGCATGTATACTTCTGGAGCTTCTTGCTGTTTGCCACAGTCTGGATGCCACGCTGGTCGTGGAGACATGCTCTTTTTCATTTGAGATCTTGTAAATACAATATTGTTAAATACATTTGTATTTTTAATTCCATCCTTACTACATTCTCTCGATTTTGCTATTTTGAGTGATCAAGAAGATGCACTCTATACGCCCTATTTATACACTACACCCCCTTCACTTACACACAAACACACTACATGCACTCTATACACCCTATATATACACTACACCCCCTTCACTTACGCCCAAACACACTACATGCACTCAATACCACCTATAAACACACACTATCCCCATGCACTCACACACAGTACACACCCTCTATACTCCCTCAAACCACACACCCTATGCTATAACACACTCTGAACACTCACTGCTCTATATCCCCTATATATCCCTTATAAATACACATTCTATACCCCTATACTCACTCTACGTCCCCTATGCACACACTATACTCTTATAGACACATTTGTGTTATGGTATCTCACTAATGAGGACATCAGAGACAAGTCACTAGCAAATTCAGTGCATGCTTACGTTGCATAAAAAAAACTACATAGAACATTAACTACTCCACCCAGAGCACTGGATGCTCAAGAGGGTCATCACACTAACATAAACACACTGCCCCTCACACTGGGCTGCTCTGTCCCTAACTGCCCGGGCTGAATTTTCGTCCCAGTCCGGCCCGGCTCACAGCCATATATTTGAGGAACCTATCTAAAAGAATAAAAATTTAATGAAAATCCATTTATGCAATAAGTCAAGTAGGAAGCTCTGACAGCTGTACTCATGGGAAACTCACTATGTAACATACAACATATTTTGTATGTGAATGTGTTATAGAAACAGGCATGCATTGCTTACAAGACCCTTGCTAATGAGACACTACAAAACCCGGAACATCACAATAATAGAATGAGTTGTAACAGTACCTTCCTATCGAATTATCCCAACACTCTTTTTATTACTCTTTTAATGGTTCACTGATCTGTCTATTATTTTTGTTATTACTTCAACATACACTAATCCTACATGTAAGGAATTATAAGAACAGTTGTAAAATAATAATATACAGCGATTCGAAATATATATAACAGAGCATAACAACCAGAGTATATGTTAACAAACCTTGAACACTATGAAAATTATTTAGCATTGTGAATTGTGAATTCAAGTTGTGAATGTCAATAATATATGTAATAATAAAAAATCAAAATAAAAAATTAAGATGACTAATTGTCTGATTTTTCTTCAGTGCCCACTAATGCTGCTTTTTTTTTTTTAGACATGGGTGTTGGGACAGATGCTGGATGAAGACAAAGAGGAACAGATGGTGGTGATCAATTTTCAGACTATGCATTGACGGGTTCAGCTATTGGTATTATTAAAAAGAGTGGGCTTCCAAAAAAATAAAAAATTATTAATTTTAATTTAATTGTAGATCTATAGTGTTTTTATTCAGATTATTGTGCCTTAAAGTCTTTTTCGAGTCTTGAAAATCAATGAGCAAACCAACAGAAGCTGCCAGTATGAAAACTGTACGTCAGCCACTTGCGATGATCTTCCTTGAATCTTTTATGCAAACTTGTGTTCATTATTATTATTATTGCCATTTATATAGCGCCAACAGATTCCGTAGCGCTTCATCAATAAGAATCTTTCATGTTGGCAAACAACAAGAAGCTCCAGAAGTATATATGCAGAGAAGCAATTAAAATCAAATAGAAACACAATAAAAAGCAAAAAAATTATAATAGGCCCTACGCGCTTCGTCCGATGGGACTTCTTCATCCCTGCATGTATACTTCTGGAGCTTCTTGCTGTTTGCCACAGTCTGGATGCCACGCTGGTCGTGGAGACATGCTCTTTTTCATTTGAGATCTTGTAAATGCAATATTGTTAAATACATTTGTATTTTTAATTCCATCCTTACTACATTCTCTCGATTTTGCTATTTTGAGTGATCAAGAAGATTCTCTCT